TGCCATGTGGTGGCCGCCAGCTGGGAACTACCAGGAGACCACGGTGCTTCCATGAAATGGAAAAACAAAAAACCATGTTTTCTAATTTTGACTCTAGGCTGCGTCTTTGCCAATGAGCAGGACTTTGAACATTCAGATGCCCTCATAACAGCCATGGACCTACAGAGATCTGGAAGTCATCTGAGTTCCTGTCTTGCCCATATGCATAGGGATGTGGAACTCAGCCAGTGGAGGGTTGGAAATGCAACTCTCAGAGTTACAAGGACATTCAGACCCACATTTCTCCCATCTGGGATCCCTATTTTGGAGAATGAGAAACCAAGTTAAGTCTCTCTTTAATAGCTTATGGTTTGCATACCTCTGGCTGAACATGAAAACTCTCCCAGGGGGACGTGGGCAGGACTAAGTTGTAAGGGGATCAATTTCCAGAAGCATATGTGTCCCTTCCTAAAATGAATCTGCCTGAGAACTGTGTTCTCCTTTTCCACATGCCTCCATTAACAAGTGACCCTTCTCTCACTAGACAGAGGAAGGCCGAGCTCTCTCGCCCACCCTGAACTGAACCTGGGTGCTCTTCCTGGAGCTACCAAATGAAGTCAATGGAAAATAAAAATCAGCCCTTTCCATCTCATGAAGAGATGAATTTTTAGTAGAAGTTTACTTTTCTGTTTAATCATTGTCAATATTTGTAGTTTTGATCAATTGCATCTTTTAATAATTGTAATTATAAACCCAGGGCAGAATAATGGTTTTTAAAATAGTCTTATGGTCACAGGAAATAAATTCCAATTTATTGATATGTACATATTTTCATTATAGAGATATACAATAAAAGACTTTCCAAAAAGACACTAAAATACAAAAAAAGGTGATACAATGCAAACAATATTTCATTAGGACCAAACTATAGGGAAAATGAAATGGAAAAAGGAACCAAAAAGAAAAATAAATGAGGTAAATTTGCTGACTGGCTAATGGACTTGTTCACTTATTAAAAGGGTGTTAATGAACATGAAAGGGCTATGGTGTTATATTCCATCCGCTACATTTAAAAGAGTGATGTGACTTTCTAAATATATAAGTATTTACAATTTCCCAGAAAGTGTACCCTTTGCAGTATTTAAACTGAAGATTAAAAATGTTAGTTGTTGACTTTAAAATGTGTAAGGGGTACATAGTTTCCCCAAATTCTTTAAGGGTGTATTTGAGCAGGAAAGTTGGAAGGGCAGGAGCCCAGAGATCCCAATGGCCCGATGTCAATCAAGTGGCTGGCCCGGGTGGGGTTGAAGAGGGCCTAAAAGAAATGACGGTTCCCTGACCTTAAAATCCACCGCTTTAGGACCCAGTTTGCTTACATGGTTAACTCCCATCAAAACCTATATGTGACCGGTTTGAAAAAAAAAAACAACGAAATAAAACAAAAAGCCCCCTAAGTTTAGAGTTTGGAAATAATCTTAGAACAGGTGCGAATTGTAGGTGTGAGCCTGTAATTTAATAGGCCTCAAAGTGGACTAGATTCACTCATTCATTCAATCATTATCTCATACCCTCAATATGTCCTGCAATGTCAGGTGCCACGGGGGAATATAACGAATAAAAATATACAGTTCCCATTCTCAGGAAGCTTAAAATTAGGCCAGGGGAGCCCTTCCTGGTCCCACTTCCCCGCTCCCTTTCCCTCCTCCCCACCCTTATAACTTTTTAATAAATCCCTTTTACTTGAATTTTTGTCTCAGGATCTGCTTCTGGAACATCCAGCCTAAGACACAACGAACGGTTTGCTATAAACCCTTGCAGCTGCTTTTTACTGCGCATGTGCAATAGGGGTACTCTTGCCCAAGGCATAGAGATTAAGCTCTCACTTAATTTGCACAATAACCCTATTGTTATCACCATTTCTCAGAGGAGAGAAACAAAGGCCTGGAGAGGTACAGTGACTCATGCAAGGTCATATGGAGAAAAATGGCAAAACTGGGATCTGAACTGAGGCCTGTCCTGATTTTAATTACATTATCCCATCTCTTTATTCATCTGTGTAAATCTGACACGGAATACAGTGCCTGGGCCTTCATGGACACTGAATATGTTGTATTGGGGTTCTCCACAGAAACAAAACCAATAGACTATACATGGAGATTTATTACACGAATTGGCTGAGAATGTCCACGATCTGCCGTCTGCAAACTGGAGAATCAGGAAAACCAGTGGAGCAATTTAATCCCAGTCCGAAGGCCTGAGAACCACGGGAGCTGATGGTTTTAAGTCCCAGTATGAGTGCAAAGGCCCAAGAATCAGAGGGTTGATGAGGTAAGTCCCAGTCTGGGTCCAAAGACCAAGAGGCAGGAGAGCCGATGTCCAAGGGCAGGAGAAGCTGGGTGTCCCAGCTCAAACAGAGAGCAGATTTGCCCTTCCTCCACCTTTTTGTTCTGTTCAGCCCTCACAGATTGGATGGTGCCCACCCACATTGGTGAGGGCGATCTTCTTAACACTGTCTACCGATTCAAATGCTAATCTCTTCCAGAAGCACCCTCACAGGCACACCTGAATGTAAGGTTTCACCAGGTCTCTGGGCATTCTTTAGCCCAGTCAAACTGACACATAAAATTAACCATCACATACATGTTTTATGAATGGCTGAATTCATTAATGAATGGTGAGTTTGGGCAACAGAGAGTAGATAAAAATGTTTAGAGTGAAGGAGATATCTATATATCTACATAAATATATATAAATGTATAAGTATATAAATATGTATATTTGGGGCCTCATCATGATGCTTGTGGGATCTCAGTTCCTCAACCAGGGATTGAACCCAGGCTGTGGCAGTGAAAACACGGAATCCTAACCACTAGGCCATCAGGGAACTCCCAGAGTGAAGAGTTTATAGCCTGGAGAAGAAAGAAATGTTGTGGAACAAGTAGGTTGGGGGGAATTAGAGAAGGTCTTGGTGCCTGGCTCAGGAGCTCATATCTGAAAGTTTTTCTCCTTGGATAGAACTGTGTTCTTTGTGGGGAGGCACATATAACCTGTCTGGTGTACTGTGGCAGGGAGGTATGGGATAGAAGGGAAGAAGGAAGTCTGGATTCCTCAAACTGGCCCTCCCTCAGCAAATTCTCAAGCCAGTGCAATGGAGTTTGTTGGGAATGGAAAGAGAAAAACATTCTTAAAGGAGAGAGAAAGTGAGGGAAAGAACTGAGTCCCTGATGTAACCCAGGAAAGGATCTCAGGCTCTTTGCATCATTTCCACATTATATCGGTTTCCATGTCTTTCTCCCTTTGTAAAGTATGAGCTTCTTGAGGGCAGGGATTGTGCCTGGTCTGTCTTTGTATGCCTTACTTCTCTCCTAGTACTTGGCCCACAAGGTGTTCAATAAAGCAAATTATTAACCTCATTTTACAGATGAGGAAACTACTGTTGACAGAGGTAACTCACCTTCCAAGACAACACAAGTGCCAAAGTCAAAACTGGATGTAAGTTCCAAACCAACTCTTCCAAGTTTGACACAACAGGTAGATGAGTGGGAGAGGGAAGGGAAAGCAAGAAGTAATTGGAGGGCTTCCCTGGTGGCGCAGTGGTTGAGAGTCCGCCTGCCGATGCAGGGGACACGGGTTCGTGCCCCGGTCCAGGAAGATCCCACATGCTGCGGAGCGGCTGGACCCATGAGCCATGGCCGCTGAGCCTGCGCGTCCGGAGCCTGTGCTCCGCAATGGGAGAGGCCACAACAGTGAGAGGCCCGCGTACCGCAAAAAAAAAAAAAAGTAGTTGGAGATTTTAATACCAATTAATAGGCAGCAGATATTGGTACCTAAAAATGCTGTGTTTATTAGCTGGGAGGAGGTTGAGTGGGACTGGATGGTATGGAATATTAACACAGGGGAACCCACTGTGCCAGCTTATCCACTTAGATTAGACAATGCTGATTCTTCCCCATCTGCCTTGACTGACCTCACCTACGAGTGACTGCGGTGGGGACACTATTGCATTTTATGTCAACATGGAGTCATACAATTAAATAATAGAATAGGATCTCTAATAGATTTAGAGAACAATGGCTCAGTACCTTGGACATGGCCGGTAGTCAATAAATGCTTAGCCAATAAGAGAAAAGAACCTTGAACTGGTATCTTGGTATAATCTAATTATAGAAGCTGAGTTACCTTGAGAAAGCATTGGGCACAGCCCTCAGCCTTTGGGCAGACGAATAATGTCTTTGGACTAGACAGAAGAGTTGGTTATCTGCTCTCCTTTGAAGATCTCTAGGCAGGGAAACTCCAAACGACTGAGCATCTACTGTGTGGGGTGCTAGGTGATGGTGACAGTCTCAGGGAGAAGTTTCAGTCCTCCCTGCCCTCGAGGAGCTCTGTGTCTAGAGAGGAAACAAATATGTATTAATAAATCATGACAATAAAATGTGATAAAAGTTAAATTAGGGAGGGGCACACCCGTGCTAACTCCTCTGCCAATTTCATGTTTCAAACTCATCTGACCAAAGACTTGCTTTGGTATAAACTTAAGCTCTCTTACTGTACATTTTCTCCCTCTAATCTTTAATTAACTGCCCACCAGGTGTCTAGCACTGGCTCAAATAACTTGTCGAATTAAACCAAACCTCTCTCCGAAGGTTTTTCCAGCTGATACCCTTCTCTTTTGCAGCATAATCTCAACTGTGATGGGGACAGACAGGATGGTGTAGTGGTGAAGGCATCGGATTGTGACCCAATTCGTTGTTCCTACTCTGCCACCTGATCTCTGCGTGGCCCTGGGATGTGAATTTAGGGGATTTCCTTAATCATCTCTAAATTGCCACGCAAGGTTGACAGCCTCAGTTCTTCGTCTGTGGTGTTCCACGACATACCACCGGAGGGCAGCATAGAGACTCCTCCAAGGCGTTTCCCTCCAGAGTCCTCCTTGGTGTGCCGCTAACATCATCACTCGTCCGGCCTCCATCAGGTCCCACTAATGCCCTCTTAGTCGCCAAGGTGACTCCTCTAAGGTGAGTCAGGCACATGAGGTGAAATGAGGCAGGCGCTGGGGCCCTCAGGAAAATTCAGGCCAGGCTGCTTGCCCAAGCGGTCCATTCATTATCTATTCTTTCTCTCATTATTAACTGAGTCCCCTCCATGAGCCACGCGGCACTGAAGCTGTGGAAACAGCGGTGAGTCAGAAAGGAGGGCCCCACCCTCCCGAGGCTTACCTTCTAGTGGGGGAAGTGAGCAACAAGCAGATGCATACAGGTTGTATGTCATAGGCTATCACGTCCTGATAAGAGCTATGAAGAAAAAGAAGGCAAGAGAAAGGACATAGCGAATGATACGGTCCATGAGTGTGGGGCTGGAGGGCTACAATTTTAAATAGGAAAGTCAGAGAGGGCTTCTGAGAAGATGGCAGGTCACAAGGACTGAAAGAAATGAGAGACTGAGCCAGGTCATGCCACGATCCAGGGAGAAGAGGAAAAGCTAGCTATGTGTAGCCTACAGCATCAGGATACCAGGTAAAGTCCCCAGCTACTGGTAGTGGGCATCATCTTAACGCCCGGAACTTGTGTCTGCAGCTCCAAAGGATAAATAATAATTTCTGTCTCGCAGGAGCATTGAGAGAATCAAGATAAATCCCGCACGTGCTGATGTTTATGACGAGCTGATTGCTACACGCTGTCGAGGAGGAGTCTGTCCTTCTCCGGTTCTAGTCCTGGGGCCCCAGAGAACAGAGCTGGACGTGGGACGCCCGCCTCTCCAATAGGATTCTGTGTTTACTGGTGTGTTACCTGTGTGTGTGGGTGATGCATCAGGCACCAGGGGCACACTGTGGGGTGAGAGAAGCTCCCTGCCCACGAGGAGCTCTCAGCCAGAGGGCTTCGGACAGTCCGGGAGAAGGAGAGAGGATGGGCCCCTGCAGATCCCACCCCCGGAAACAGTGAGGGCCACAGCCTGCCTAGAAGTCCCTCCTGGGACAAGTCCTTCCAGCCTCTCCTGAAAGCACATTCAGACTCTGCCTCGGTCCCCGTCTTCACCCTTTCCTGCCGGATCAGGAAGGAGCTGGGTCTCTAATTCTGGGTGACCGAAAACAATAAAATGCATGAACAGCAACAGTGGAAAGAGCGACTATTTAATAGCTGAGTGTAGTGAGCAGACAAGGAGCGCTGGTTTCCCTAACACTCGCTCCACAGCGCAGAGAAGAGGAAAAACATTATTGTTACTCTGAGAGCTAATCACAGCCTCTATATTCACCTCCTCACAAGACAGGAGGGCTGGTGGCCAAATCAGATGTGGCTTAAGCAGAGCTATGAAGTCTCGGACTCTAGGAGCATGACCGTCGCTCAGCTGACTCCCTGCTGCTTGCAGGAGGGCAGGGGGAGGAAGGGAAAAGAACGAGGGCTGGGGGGACACATAGCCTGGTGGGCAGAGCCCCTGCCTGCCAAGTGTTTCCTCTACGGGATTCACTGGCTGAGGATGCTCCTTGCTCTGACCCCGATCTTCACTCCCATGTCCCTGCTGTGGTACCCGGGTCCCTTGGAGGATGCAAGCGGGGTTGCTAAGAGGGTGAGAACAGGGCCGGGAAGAGCAAAAGTAGATGCTCACCAGGTCAAGTTCCAGGAGGTCAGTCCTAGAGGAGAGAGTGATGGACCAGGGAGCTGAGGGGGAGAAGCAGGAAGGGTGTAGCTGAGTATGGACCACACCGTGGAATATATTTTGAGGGAGTAGATGTATTTTGATGGGGTGGAGACTGCCCCCCCAGAGCAGCAATTCTTAGCCAGGGGTCACACGTTATGCTGGGGTGAGAGTCCCTGAAAGAGTCACTTAGGTGATTTTTTTACACAGCACTGCCTACCCCACCCCAGCATCAGATGAATGCTTTGTCCAGGGGGGAATCCCCGTACTTCCTCTTCGTGGCCACGTGAGCTCTGCCATTTGTTAATGGAAGTGTGCTGTATCCCTCAGAGGAAAGAGCTCATCCGGGGAGAGAAGAGTGGCTCAAGGGAACAGTCACACACGAGGAATGAAGGCAGGACAGACAGGCCCACGAGAGAGCACAGGTGGGTGGCTCTGTGTCAGAGGCCAGTTCACGTGCCTGCTGCCACTGCCCGGCTAGACCAAGCACTCTTTTTTTTTTTTTCTTTTTGGCTGTGTTGCGTCTTCGTTTCTGTGCGAGGGCTTTCTCTAGCTGTGGCTAGCGGGGGCCACTCTTCATCGCGGTGCACGGACCTCTCACTGTCACGGCCTCTCTTGTTGCGGAGCACGGGCTGCAGACGCCCAGGCTCAGCAGTTGTGGCTCACGGGCCCAGCCGCTCCGCGGCATGTGGGATCTTCCTGGACCGGGGCACGAACCCGTGTCCCCTGCATCGGTAGGCGGACTCTCAACCACTGCGCCACCAGGAAAGCCCTCATCTTCCTTCTTGTTGCAGTTTAGGACCGTGCACCTTGAACCTGTGCCCCGTGCAGAACGCGACAGCACAGAGCAGCCCAGGGTGGCTTGGAGGGGATGCAGCCCGCCTTCTTCAGATATGGGGCAGGGACAGGTATGGGAGGCACATGCTTTAAGCTTGGCCTTGTCTGGTGAGGTTTACTGGGCCTCCCACGTTCTCTCACTCAGTCCTCCCACTGGGCAGGGCACTCGCTGGCGGGGTGAAGGGTAGCCCCGGGGCTGGAGAACACAGCAGACCCACCTGTGCCACCGTGGGCCTCGTCTAACTGGTGAGCATCCCCAGGCGCCCTGGTCTGGGCGGTCTCTCAGCCAATGCCCTTTCCTGCTCCCCGGGCCCCCATTAGCTTCAGATTTTCACGGCCTGAGCTGAGAGAGGGTGAGACCCAGGGACACAGCAGAGTAAGACACATCAGGGCAGATTTCAGGAAGAAACAGGGAGAGCGGAGGAGAGGGGCTCAGAGGGCCCACGTGTGGGCAGGCAGTGGAGGAATGGGGCGGACGTGGGTGAGGACGGGGTGGAAGGGGTGGGCAGGAGGGCAGCGGTCAGGAGGAGGAACGTGGCCGCACCATTGCGTGGTGTGTGTGGCTGGAGATTTGGTGAGAGGCCCAGAGACACTGTGCCTCCTTCAGCCCCGGCCGTCCCAGCCCAGGCTGGGAGGAGTGGAAGGAGAAAACAGGACAAATGTTGCCACCTCTGTTTATGCTGGAGAAGAATTCCCCACAGAGCGCAAGCCATTCCTCCTTTTCTGTCCACCTCAAGGCTCCTCTTCTCTCGGCCACTCCCCTCCGGCTCCCAGGGCCCCCTCCCTCCCTCCCCGCTGGAGATGGAGCCAGCCAGGCCTGAGACTCTAGGGAGGAGTTGACTTTCGGAAGGAACATCATCATTTTAAATTGCATCCTTGTGTGCATGTGTGTCTGCTGCTCTGTAGGGGGCGGAGGGGAGTGGAGAGGAGACTCCTCCAGGTCAGCTGGGCTGGAGTCTCCGGAGAGAGGGCCTGAGGCTGTGCGTGAGCCCATCTTAGTTGCCATCCCCCAGTGGACGACACAGACAGGACATGCAGACTCCACCTGCCAAGAGCCTGTGCCAAGAGGGCCACACCCTTGTCCCATCTAATCTTTCTGATAATTTCCTATTCGATCCTCACAGAAACCCTGCAAGGTAGACATCATTTAAAATACTCCCGGGGGCTTCCTTAGTGGTGCAGTGGTTAAGAATCCGCCTGCCAATGCAGGGACACGAGTTCAAGCCCTGGGTTGGGAAGATCCCACATGCCACGGAGCAACTGAGCCCATGCGCCACAACTACTGAGGCCCTCGCGCCTACAGCCCGTGTTCCACAACGAGAGAAGCCACCGCAATGAGAAGCCCGCGCACCGCAATGAAGACCCAATACAGCCAAAAAAGTGAAAACAAATAAACAAATAAGTGTATTTAAAAAAAAATACTCCCATTTTACAGATGAGAACATTGAAGTTCAGGAAGGTTGGGTGAGTTGCCCAAAGCTGGGAGGTTAGCTGGGACTTGAACCCAGGTCATCCTGATTCTAAAAACCAGTGAGGGGACTTCCCTGGTGGTCCAGTAGTTAAGACTCTGCGCTCCCAGTGCAGGGGGCCCGGGTTCCATCCCTGGTCAGGGAACTGGATCCCACGTGCTACAACTGAGAGCCTGCATGCCGCAACTAAAAGATCCCGCACGCGGCAATGAAGATCCCACGTGCGGCAACTAAAACCCGGTGCGGTCAAATAAAAAAATAAATATTTAAAAATAAAATAAAACGAGTGTTTTCTTTTTTTCCTCCCTACTGCATCAACCCTCTTCAGGGGCTGCTCTCTCACTGCCCCCATGGTCCCTCTCTCTTCCACTCCCATTTTGGGTGCTAGGGGACAGTCAAGGGCTAGATTCGCTGGTAGCCACTAGCCACAAGTGGCTATTTACATTTAAATGAATTAAAATTAAGTAAAATTAAGAATTCAGTTCCTCCAGTTGGTCATACTAGCCCCATTTCAAATGTTCAGTGGCCACATGTGGCTCGTGGCTACTGTATGGGGCAGCACAGAGAGAGAACATTTCCATCATGGCAGGAAGTTCTATGGACAGTGCTGGGCTGGGTCAGAAGCAGGGCAGGAGACAGAGAAAGGGAGAAACGAGCCGAGGGCTCCGGCGGTAGGGCTGCCTCTGTGAGGAGACCGGGGCAGTGCGGGAATGAGAGTCCAGGCCAGGGGAGCAGGGAGAGGGCTGGGTGGGCTTGGGGAAGAGGCAGAGAACCTGACCCAACTCCCAGGTCCCGCCTTCCAATACTGATACTCTTGGCAATACCAGTGAGCAATTAATTGGCTGGGGTGGGGTCAGGTTCCAAGCGGAGGGAGGGGAATGCAATGGAGGAGGAACCACCCCTCTTAGCAGGTCTCAGGGCTCTGGTCCTCCAGTCCTGCCCTTCATCCTTCAGGGACCCAGGATTCTGCTGACCCTCCTTGGTCCTACCGTGCATCCTACCCAGACCAAGCTGGCTGCTTCCTGTTGCTCATCCAGGCTGGGCAGTCAATTAATGGGCGGCAGGGCCACCACCTTCCCAATTAGTCTTATTAGCCTCTTGCTCACACACTGGAGCCAGGGCCACCCCTCGGGGAGGGGCTGTGAGTGGCCTGTGAGTAACCAAGGCCCAGCTATGACAGGGGTCCTCAGCCCAGGCCTGTCTCCGGGCTGAGGCCTTGGCGTCCAGCACCTGCGGGCCGTCCCTGGAGCCCCCCGGAAGGGAGAGGTCAGGGAACTGGCTTTGGAGTGCAGACTCCAAAGGTCCGCTCACTGATGACACACGTAATAGCTGTGCGGCAAGCATGGTACTTGGACAGTGACAGCAGGGCGTGGGGTGTAGATCCTTATACCTGGAGGAAGAGAGTGGAAGCTGAGTGAAGGGTCTCAGGGAAAGGGGAGCGTGGATCCAGAGGCTGTGGAGGGCTCCCAGGCGGGGTTAACCGTGAGGCGGGGGTGCGGGCCACAGCAGGTAGCCGGTACTGAAGGGAAAGTTGAAATGCCCACATCTGTGCGTGGAGGGAGGACAAGCAGTCAGAGAGGCCAACGCTGGGGAAGGCAGGAGAGTGAAGGAGCCAGGGGACTGGGCCCCGTGGTGAGGGTGGCCGCCCGGCAGTGGGCGGCCTTCGGGGCAGAGCACCTGGTTCCAGGTTAGGCAACGAGGAGCCGGGGCAGGCCAGCCAGGTGTTCCCAGGGCCACGGGGCCCCACACTGCAGCCACACCTGCTGCTGTGTAGGCAATACCCAAACAGTACTTCAGCTCCTCCCGGCCACACCAACTTCCCCCCACCCCGGCACCTCCACCTCCACCTCTCCTCCCCTCCCCACAGTGACTCCTGCCCGGAAAATGTCCAGCCCTGACATAAAGGCCCCGGGTGTCCACGAGCTGCTGTCACTCAGGAGGCCACACAGTCCAAGATGGGCTCTGTGCAAGCATCCCGGATAGGGCTTGCGGGAGGACGGGGGATGTTGGCATTGCTGCTGGCCAGTCTCCTCCTGCAAGGTAGGAGGCTGGGGGCCCTGGGCGCAGAGAGAGTGGGGAGAGGAGGGGGGCAGGACTGCAGATGCCAGGTCAGAGAAGGCTGGGGGGAGCCCTGCGTGGGGAGAGTCCAGGAGAGGACCCAGCGAGGGCGGAAGGGCAGGGGCTCTGGAATCTGATGCTTGAGTCTGGGGGCCGCTCCTCACTGCCTTGACACCTCAGGCAAACTGCTTAAATTTACTGAGGCTCCGTTTCTGAAACTCTAAAAATGAGGCTAAAGTTAACACCTAGCTCTAGTTTCTCTATGAGCCTCTAAGTAATGTGTGCCACAGTGCTGTCGAATTCCTAGAGAGTTATCTCATGTTGGCTGTTTTTGTCATTATTATTATTAGAGCGCTAGAAGATGGAGTCGATATTTAATAGTCGTAATAACTGTTACCATTCATAGGGCCCTTTCTGCGTGCGAGGCACTCCGCTAGCGCTCTAATGCATTAGCTCGTTTGACCGCTAGAAGGATGGTGTGAGAGAAGTTCCCTCACTCTGCACAGGAAGACCCTGAGGCTTGACGAGCTTAGGAAACTGGCTCAAGCTCACAAATTAGGAAGCAGTTAAGCCGGGATCCAAAGCCCAGGCTGGGCGACTCCAGGGCCTGTGCTGTTGATCACGGTGACCTTGCCCATAGCCCCGTGGCCGTGTGGCATCGGAGGAGCACGGGGCGGGGCTGCGGGGTGGATGCATTGAATTTCTTTCTGAGGAGAGAATGGGGAGCTCACAGAGTGTGGAGACCTGGTTTTTGGTGGGGGGTTCAAAGGAGGAATGGCAGTAATAAATCATGTCTGATGCTTTCTGCTTTTGTAAAGCACCTTCTGCATGCGTGGTCACATCTAGTGCTCACCGTAACGCTGTGAGGAAGGTAGGGCAGATCTGGCCTCTCCAAATGTACGACCTGAAGTACGTGGCTCTGTCCACACCACTTGGGACCGGAGGTGGTTAAGGTGGGGAGTAGAGGAAGGGTGGGGGGAGGGGAGCCTGGGTGAGGAGCAAAGGGTTAGTTAAGGAAAGAAGTAGAGGCAGAAGCTGTCAGATGTGGGCCTGGGGGCAGGGAGGCACGCGGTGCTGGCCAGCGGGGAGACAACTGATAAAGGTCAGGGGCCTCGGAGGAGGGCTGCATCCTCGCGTCCCTGAGCTGGGCTCGGGGTGCAGGGTCCTGTCCTGCTGGTACAAGCGGGTTCTGAAGCAACAGTGCGTGCCCCCATGTCCTGGCCCCCACCCAGCTTTCCTGGCATGGGCGGTGCTGAGGCGGGAAGCAGAATTTCCATTCCGTACCCAAGCCTGGCCTCTCGAGGGGAAGCTGGCAACCCAATCATAATCCTCAAGTGTCCTGTCCTCTACTGCCGTCCCCCTGCCCCTCCCCCACTTTCTCTTTTTCTCAGCGTCTGTTTGGCTATTTTCCCTCCCTTCTCAGTCCTCTGTGGTTCTGTCTTTCATCTCCTCCTTCCATCTGGTCCCACGGTCTCCCCCACCTCTCAGAGTCTCAGTCTCCCCTGCTCTCCATCTCTTTGGGGTCTCCCTGCCTTTTCCACCCCAAACTCTCCCTGGGCTCCTCTCAGGAGAGATCAGAGTAGCAGATGACTGAAGTGGGTCTGGGAGGGGAGAAAGAAAGTCCAGCCTCTCTGGCCCTTGCTAACCACTACTTTCCTCCCCAGGGACCTTGGCCAAGAGCATTGGGACCTTCTCAGACCCCTGCAGGGACCACACGAGTATCACCTCCCCCAGTGACCCCTGTCTCCTGGGGAAGGGGAGCTCCAGCAGCTTCAGTAGCCAAAGTGGCTCCAGCAGTTCCAGCAGTTTCCTTTCGAGTTCCAGTGGCTCCCGTGGTGGCTCCAGTGGCGGCTCCAATGGCTCCAGTGGCGGCTCCAATGGCTCCAGTGGTAGCTCCAGCGGATCCATTGCTACCCAGGGTCGTTCTTCAGGATTATCGTTATTTAAGCCAGGAACGGGGTATTCCCAGATAAGCTACTCCTCTGGACCTAGCTCTAGTCTACAGGGTGCATCTAGTTCCTCCCAGTCAGGAAGCCTCAGCTCCCAGTCTGGAGGAGGCTCGAGCTCTTCTGTTTCCCAGACCTCCTCGTTGTCCAGCAGCAGTGGCCAGGAGGTCAACGCCAAGCTGAGCCCCTGTAGTTCCAACATCCCTGACTCTCCCTGCAGTGGGGGACCCATCGTCTCGCACTCTGGCTCCTACATCTCCAGCTCCCATTCTGTGTCTGGGGGTAAAATGCCTGTAGTGGTGGTGGTGGAGCAGCATGGCTCTGGTGGCCCCAGAGTGGGTCAAAGCGTCCCCTGTAGCAATGGTGGCCTTCCAGGCAAGCCCTGCCCCCCCATCACCTCTGTAGGCAAATATGGCAGCTATGAGGTGGTGGGTGGCTCCTCTGACAGTTATCTGGTCCCAGGCATGACCTACATCAGGGGCAAAATCTACCCGGTGGGCCACTTCATCAAAGAGCACCCCATCAAAGTCTCTCCAGGGGATCCCTCCTTTGCAGCCGGGGCCCCCATCTCTGAGGGCAAATACTTCTCCAGCAACCCCATCATCCCCAGCCATAGCTCTTCTAGTTCCAACATCTACCAGTCGGGAGCTTCCTCGGCCATTGTGTTCCAGCCGGTGGGCTCTGGTGGGGTCCTGCCCTATGGCGTTGGCTCCAAGGGCTCTAAGGAGCCCTGCTCCCTCTCTAGCTCTGGAGTCCACAGCAGTTCTAGCCTTTCCAGCAGTTCTGGTTCATCTTTCCAGCCCTGTGGTGGTGTTTCCCAGAGGCCCAGCTCCTCACCAGGCACTGGCTCCTTCAGTGGCAGCTCCAGCTCCCAATCCCATGGCAAAATCATCCTTCAACCCTGTGGCAGCAAGTCCAGCTCTTCTGGTCACTCTTGCATTTCTGTCTCCTCCTCAACATTGAGTAGGGGTCGAGCTGGCTCCTCCCAACATGACCCCTCAGCTGGTGCCAAGCCCTGTGGCTTTGGCAGCTCTGGAACGATCCCCTGCCACTCCATCCGGGACATCCTAACCCAAGTGAAACCCCTGGGGCCCCAGCTAGCTGACCCTGAAATTTTCCTACCCCAGGGAGAGTTACCTAACAGTCCATAAAGCAGATTTTGCCTACACACATGTGCAGGCATACACACACACACACACACACACACACGCACCATCTCCCAGGTGGGAGAAGTTCAGGAGCCCAGCCATGGGGGTAGCTCAGTTTTCTTCCACCCTCCCAAGACAGCTGCTCTACTTCCCCCATTGTCCCAATGTGGCAGACTCTCCCTTATCAGCTCTTCTTTCTTTACCTCCCCAAATTGTAGGCTCCAAATCCCTTTCCTCATTCTCTCCTACTGTTTAGATTCCCATTGTGCTGCAGTGCCCTCCCTGCCAGATACCCTCTCCCTAGCATTTCCTCCGCCATTTCTTTGAGACAGTATAGTCCATTGGCTAACCCTACTCATTCAGATTCTTGACTGGGAACCCCCTGAAATGTCCTACAGTAACTCTGATGCCTGGACAAGCCATCCCCTCCCCACCCCCCTCCCCCCACTTTGCCAAATAAAGCACAATCCAAACAGTTATTTGAAAACAGTGACCATTTTTCACCGGTCTCATTTCACCATCTGGTCAACCAGCATGATATCCTGTTGGGTTCTCACACTCCCAATTCCACTCCCACGCTCCATTATAGAGCTCAGCACACCCTTTTTGAGTTCCCAACATTCCTCTTTGTCTCTCAAGGTCTCCATCTCAGTCCCCCTTCCTGGCTGTCACTTCCCTCAACGTTCAGAGGCTTCCCTGTGTGTAGGAGATACCAGGGTATCTGCAGAGACTGGAGCAGGCTCCCTGCTCTCTCTGGGTCCTGGACAGATGTGTCAATAAACTGTGTGAACTGGATTAGACTTTTTGCCTTCTTGGAGCCCTGGGTCTCATCTTGGGACCTGAGTGATGCTTTCCTATGCCTCTAAAGGTCCTGTGTCCCCCACTTTCATTCATAAATTGGCCTGGTATTTCTTACATCTTACAGCTCCTCCCACAAAGGAGGAAAATCATAAATATTTGTTAAACTGAAAGCAGGGGTTAGTTGGTCTCCCAGATCCTTCCTCTCACATCTCTTCTCTCTCGTTGCCCCAGGAAATCCATTCTTGTCCCACTGCCCATTCACTCTGCAGTCCTCCCCTCTCCTTACATAGAGCCTTAATGATTTCCTCCCCCTCCCCACCTGGCTCCTTCTCCTTATCCATTAGTTGGCCTCACCTTCAAGATGCCATCCTCTCTGGGAGTCCCGAGCGTCGATTTCCTGGGTTTCTGGGACACCAGGAGCCTTGGGAAGGCTGGAACACAGCAGCCCGGACCACATTCCTGGGGACTGAGTAGGAGCTAAGGGGGGCGTGGTTCTGGGAGCTGCAGGTGGAGGAAGTGAAAGACAGAGAGGACAGGGGCATGACGGGTGTGCAGCCGAGCAAGGTGACCCACTGGCCTACATTGAAACGCCCCAGCCCACGACAGAACAGTGTCCTCCCCACCTTCGCATTCCTGCTGCCTCTGCTGTGGTTCTAGAGTGACAGCTGGGAGAGGCGAGAGGGCTGAACACTACAGTGGGGAAGGGGAGGTGGCCTCCATGGGAGAAGATTGAAAAAGTAGACAGGGTGCCAAGGGCCACGCGACTATGTTCTGGAGACAGCAGGGAAGACACTGAGGCCAAGGAAGCTCTCATGCCCCAAGGAGGGGAGGGTGGGCTGTGCTCACCCTTACAGGAAGACCCTCACCCCAAAGCACAGGCCACCTCTCAGAGCCTCTGCTTGGCTGCAAAGGAATTCACCCCTACCTTAGGATCTAGCTCATTCCCTCCTATTGGGATGATGTCAGCTGGCCCCAAATTTAGGACTGTTGTTGAATTCTCGAATCAGCAGAAATATGTTTTGTTGATCAGAAATGACCTGGGGCAGCTGAGCCAACCTGCAGGGTTGACTGAAGACAGAGGAGGCCTCCAGAACAGTCCCGTTTCTGTCATCACTGTGGGGTCACCCTTGGTTACCATGTGCCCCCTGGACTGCAGCCAATGACAGGAATCAAAGCCCTCAGAGGCTCTGTGGACCGCAATTGTGGGAGGGACGCAGCCTCTGACACGAGTATTCCTCTAGTTTCTGGTGTGATCCAGGTCAAAATGTTTTGCAAAGCTGTTGGATGTCACCCCAAAAGGCTGCTGCCCTGTACCCACTGGCCAGATCTGCACTCTTTTTAAAAAAATTTTTATTGGAATATATGTTGTCCACTGGCCAGATCTGGAGAGGAACTCTTTACCCTTCCAGTAGCCAGCTAGCAGGGGCTGGGGATGAAGATGGAATAGTAGAATCTAACAGCTAATATTTAAACTTCATGCAACAAGAGAAGCCTAGTCTGGGTGCGTCTTGGAAGCAATAGAGAAACAAAGGCGTTTAAACACTTTTTATAGGAAAAATTCAAACATATTTAAGAGTAGACAAAATACTTAATGAATCCCTATGCTCTCATCATTCAGCCTTAACAATGATCAGCTCATGGCTATTTGACATGTCAATGCCCTCCTTCTACTTAGTTGGAAACATCTACTCTCTCTCTCTCTCTCTCTCTGTATCTCTTGTATATTCTGTGGATACATTTGACCATCTAAGGTAGGCAGACTTGTGCCCTCCCCATAACCAGAGATGTCCACGTCCTGATGCCTGGAAACTGAATATGTGAGGCTACATAACAAAGGGAAACTGTTTGCAGATGGAATTACGGTTGTTAGTCAGATGACCTTAAAGTAGAAAGATTATCTGGGATTATTTGGGTGAGTCCGAGGTAATCATAAGGGTCTTTAAATATGGGAGAGGGAAGAAGAGGAGGTCAGACTGATGCAATGTGAGAAGATCCTGCTGTTTCTGGCTTTGAACATGGAGGAAGGGGACCATAAGCCAAGGAACTCAGGTGGCCTCTAGAAGCTGGAAGATGCAGGGAAATGGATTCTTCCCTAGGGCCTCCAGAAAGGCTCTGCCAACACCTCAATTTTAACTCAGTGAGACCCATGTCAGACTTCTGCTCTTCAAAATTGTAAGATAGTAAATTTGTGTTGTTGTAGGCCATTAAGTCTGTGGTTACTTGCTATAGCAGCCGTAGCAAACCAATACACCATCATCTCTTAAGGATGGGAACCAGGTCTATTTCCCTAGACACAGGGTCTCATCTAGGAGCAGCCCCTCAGAAGGGGGCACTTCTGCACCCCAGAACCTCCTGCAGGTTGAGGTCAAGATGATGTAGCTATGGGGATGCACGAGAAAGGGGTGCTGGAAGAGAATGATATGGATCCCAAAGAGAAACAGAATCAGGTGTTTCTATTGTTGAGAAATCAGTGACGAGATTGGGACCCCAAGGGCGAAGGTCCTCATGTGCCTGGTGTCAGCAGCCAGGAGGGGTACGGCCGGCAACCAGTGATGAGCTGTGAGCCAGGACACCTGGGTTAGGAAGGGGTGGGGAGCTTGAGGAGAGGAGCAGGGTGGGAACACCCAGCTTCCCTGAGTCATTCAAGCGGCATCTGTTGTCACAGAATGAATTAGGAACGAGGTTGGAACGTAGAGATATACTGTTTCCGCAAGCACTGGCTCAGCCTGTTTCTGGTGTCCCCCACCCACTAACAGGATAAAGGGCTGGCTGTCTTGAGGCTGAGGGACATGCAGAGCAAGATGCAGGGCCATGTCGCAGGGAGCCGGGCTCCTTTGGGCCTGCTCCTGGTCTGTCTTCATCTCCCAGGTATGGAGGCTGTGCCAACCTTTGGGCAGGAGCGGACTGGCGGTCCTCGGGGAGCCGGGACTGAGGGGAGAGGTAAAGGTGGAAGTGTGTACAGTTGGGTCCCTGCGGGAGGAAAGAGTTGGCGCAGGCAAAGTGGAGGGACTTGAAGCAAAGGGAATCAGGGAGTCAGGGAAGGGAGGGCACTGAGACTAAATATCTGGCCCACTGGCTGCCTCCTCTCCCCCTTCCCTCAGGCCTCTTTGCCCGGAGCATCGGTGTGGTGGAGGAGAAATTTCCCCAAGACTTGGGGATCAACCTGCCTCTGCTTGGACAACCTTCCTTGACCAGCCCCTCCAACTTGGAACATCCTCAGCCCAAACCAGACCCTGAGCCTAATGATTCAGCAAGGGCTCCTCTGAAGCCCAATGCTTCTCCATCACATGGCTCTCAACCTGAAGGAGGTGCTGGGGTACAGATGTGGCCCCCGTCTGGGAAGCTGCCCTCCATGGACTCCTGGTCCTCGGAGGACCCTTGGCCGATGATGCCTGCTGTGGTCGAGGACCATGTGGGAGAAGAGCTGCCTGAAGAACCGTCCTACTTTTCTAGTGCGGCTGCCCTCCCTCCGGGCAGTGGGCCTTTTCCTGAAGAGCCCTTTGCATACCCCGCGGACCCCTCACCCGAGGCTTCACTCCTCCACCAGGACTCTGAGTCTAGATGGCCACTCCGCTCTAATGTGCTGGGCGCCCAGAGAAAAATCCTTGCCCGACCCCGTCCCGGGTCTCTCATCAATGGGATTCGATGGCCACTTCTGCCTGGTTACCCCTGGGGGCCCCTGAATCCCAGTGTACCCTGGGGAGGTGGAGGTCCTGGCACTGGATGGAGACCAAACCCCTTTTACCCTTTTGGAAACTGGGGTAACAGTAATCAATACCCAAGTACTACCTGGGGGTATCCAGGTATCAGATGGAGGATTATTAATTGGTATCCAGGTACTAGCTGGAAGAATATTCATCTACACCCAGGCAATAATCAATTTCCTCCCAGACTTCTCCGTGCTCCTGGCTCTTATTAGAGCATCCCAGCCGGCTTTCCCAATCCTCAAAACCCTGGGTCATAATGGAGTTAGGAGAATGACAGAGCGGGGGCAGCCCTAAGTTAGAAGTCAGAGAGGGGGGTCCTGCTCCCTCCCCTTGCAGTATGAGCTAAATCAAGATCCTATCAGCTGTTTTCTAACGTCCTCTCCACTTTCACTGCCTCCCTGCTCCCCATATGCTGATCTCCAATAAAACACAGCACTTACTGAATCCGCTTCTTCTCAGTGTCTTTGTTTCTGGGTGCAAACTGGAGTTTTGTCCATCCCCATTTTCTAGTCATCCTCATGTCCCTCTAGGGTCCTCCTGACACTCTCTTGCTATCCCCATCCTTTGCAAAAGATCAAAGCCCAGGTGTTTGAGGGTGGGGCCTTGTGGTCTCATCTGGGCCAAGTGGGAGAGCTGGTTCTAGAATTGTCCTGGAATCTGAAAAGGGGAGGAGGGGCAGCAGGACTAACTGAGGTGGCACCTGTGGCAGGAGGCAAGGATGAAGTCCAGGAGGTTGGTACCAGGGCCAAGTGGGGAATGAATAGTCTTTGATTCAGAGACACAGAGGGTCAGAGAGAGTCATTTTTGTCTATGCTTACCTTTTCTTCCCAGAAAGTTATGGTTCTTGGAAGTGGAAGAGGCATTGATGTCCCTTACACGCATCACTTGGTACACTGTGCCCCAGAGAACTACAGACTTTGGGCATTTGCTGAACAAATAGCAGACCTCAATAGAGGAAGAAAGGAAGGGGAGAAGGGACAGGAAGAGAGAAACTTGGAGCCAACAGTCCTGCCTATGGCTGCATTTGATGCTTTTATTCTCAAGTGATGACACAGTCTCTTCTTTTGGTCACACTACCCTCCCTTTGGTTTTCCCAGGAGCTCAGTATCCTTGTACAGGAGTTGGAGTGGGGTGAGGAAGGGTCATTCTAAGAAAGTGCAGAAAAAAAAAAAAAAAAAGAAAGTGCAGAAGGAAGTTAACAGAAGCTGGTGGGGGTGATGGGGTTTCCAGGGGGCACACTTCTGGTGTCCACCCATGTCTTCCCATCACCAGTCACACCACCCTCTA